AAAGCAGGTTTGACACGGGTTATTTGTTTGCTTGAGTGCTATATGTCGACGCGGTGCAATAAACCAAGCTCGTCACGCTAGGCAAACGAGCGCAAACGCAGTGTCGTATTGTATATCCCCGACAAACGTTGTGTGATAAGAGCACCACTGAGCCACATCTAAGATGCAGAGTGAAAAGCTGGGCCACTCGGCGCATTGTGGGTCCGGGTTAAGTGCGGTTATAGCTACGTTTTGTGCTGCACTTCAGGCGTGATTAGATTACGTTGCTGCCCAGAACAGCTCAATTTGAACACGTTTGTTGTTTAAGGGAGATTAGTTCATGTTTATTTAAATATGCAGTAGATATTGGGAACATAGGAGGGACAAAAAAAAATCAGTATCTTTGCATCACAAGTCAGACAACAAGCCTAGTTTCAGATCAGTGAATCTGGGAAGGTTCCCAACTAAAGTGAACCCAGTAGGAATAAGCAATGCCCTCTAGCCTCCAGAAGATGCCAATGTACCTTTTGACAAAATCTGTCCAAGCCTCTAACCTCAAACTGCAAATGAACATCAAAAATGTCTAATTTTGTTTTAATAGCGCTGTTGGAGAGCACTAATTGTACTACTACCCATAAGATTCAAATGTTTCTGCATCTGTTTAAAAGTTTTTCTTTAATTTGCCGTCATTGCTGAGCGACTTACTTTAGTCCAAAGTTTCTTCAAGTTTACTTTTTTGGTTGTGTCACAGGAGCTGCTGGCCATCAAGGCCAGGGTGCAGGAGCTGGAGATGGAAGAAGAGTCGGAAAGACTGAAGGAGGAGGAGAGGTGTGATGCAGTGGACATGCAGCTCCTGACCAGCAGCCCTCAGTCTGGTGAGACAGCTTGCATCTCATCTGTGGAGCGGTGCTTTGTTGTACCACATTGTATAGCTGCATAGCTAAATGCATGCAAGAAGCCTCAACAGTGTATTTTTAGCCAGGTGCGTGTAGCATTACAGCCTCCAGGCAGGTGAGATAACCACATTCTTCTCCATCTGGCCAACACCTGGGACGCTTCACAGTGGTTGCGAGTGTTGTGCCTCATCACTGCCCAATGAGACGAAGCAGTGAGCCCCAGAGAACCAGAAGTGTCCTCTCGCTGCCTGTGGCTATTTTCTGCTTCTGTGCGTCTCCCTCCCCCCATCCTCCTCTTTGGTTCCTGCTCTGAGCAGAGATGAGCCAGACTGAGATGTGTATTGTCAAAGAGATAATATTGGTGAATGTAATCATTGTTAGTTTCACCTAGCATGACTCATGTAGACTGCACGTTCCCTGTGTTGCATGTGCAAAAGCAGTGCATAAAGTCTGTTTCCTCCACAGGACCTTTCTACAACATGACTCCCGAGGAGAGGATAGACGCAGACAACAGGTCGATCTATGTTGGAAATGTAAGGAACATTCATTTCTACACTTGGATATTTTTTTTTTTTGGGGGGGGGGGGCCCGTTTTGGTCTAACACACTGAATAAATCTCAGGTAGACTATGGAGCCACTGCAGATGAGTTGGAGATCCACTTCAATGGCTGTGGTCCTGTCAACAGAGTAACCATCCTGTGTGACAGGTTCTCCGGCCATCCTAAGGGGTAGGTTCAGTCTGTATTTATATATCTATATATTTTTATTTTTTTGCAGCCTAACATGTTTGATCATAGCATACACCTACATGAATGTTGACTCCATATCTAATTGGTGCTTTTTATCTTTTCTGATCTTCACAGCTTTGCTTACATTGAGTTCTCCGATCGAGATTCTGTACAGAGTGCCATTGGACTGCATGAGACTCTGTTCAGAGGAAGAGTCTTAAAGGTGAGGGGGTACTATGCTTTTTTTTTTTTCCCTCCCCTTCTTGAAGATGTGTGGATTTCAGGTGCACAATAATGCCAGTCAAATCTCAGTACATTTGTTGTACATGCACAGCTTGCAGCACCATAAGAGGGAAAAGATCTCAGGTGGCATCAGATTCTACCAAAATAACCTTCGTGCTTGGGAAGAAACAAATTTGTACTTTTTGTACGGTTCTTGGTTGGAACAAAGTTAAAGTTGTTTTGCTTAGCACAAAGGAATAGACTGGGAAAATTATATTTTGCCATGTGTACTGGACATAACCCCACTTCCTGTTTGGAAGTGAAAATACCAACACCAAAGGGTCTTGGGTATGTTCAGTGTTTCTTTTCAACCAAATTAGTCCTAACCAGTAAAGAGCATCCTTTGTCTTGCAGGTAATGCCCAAGAGGACTAACATGCCAGGCATCAGCACAACTGATAGGGGAGGGCACAGAGGCGCCCACTCCAGAGGCAGAGGTCGTGGCTACCGTCCACCCCGATACCATAACAGCTCTCGAGGCAGGTTCCGTTACCAGTCGAACAGGCCACAACATCAAACACCCCACCCTTACTACGGAGGAGCCCCAGTGGGGAAAAGACAGTGGGGACACATGGACTACCATGAGCAGACATCTAAACGTTACCCATGTCTGCTGCTTATCACGCCACCATCAGAGGAGTTAGGCGCAGGGTCGAGTGGACAGCACTACCCCCAGCAGCGCTAGGTCTACCCGCAGCATAAAGTTGGAGGATAGAAGTGACACAAGTCATTTTAAACATTCTTCCATCCATTATCAAGTTGGCAATTATGAGAGGTGCATAAATGACCACAGTGATGAAGGTGAGATGTGCATAATTCAGAGATGTCGCTTTGTTAGCTTATGTTGCTGTGAATGCATGGGACAATCCTCGAAATGTTATGCAGTTGCATCTCTGTTTTTACGAATTGACGAATGTTTTGTGTTGCTGCCTGCAATGTAATCTACAAATTTTCCCCTTATGTATAACTTAAGTTCTTTGCTATGTATGTGAATAAATAAAAATGATCTGGTGTTCCACTTGTAGTAAAATAACACACAGTGATGTCTAACAGTTCAGTTTTATTACAGTTGTATTTCATAATTAAAGAAACAAGTAAATAAAAGGGTGTTTATGTACAGTGGAGGATCAGCAGACTGGCTAAAAGATGCATCAGGCAGTTTGTACCATCATTCCAGAAACAATCCCATCAAAGGCCCTGGAGGAGGATCGATTATTGGTTAAACATCACTGTATAAATGGGGGACATCAAATGCAATATCAGCATATACTCACTTGGACTGAATGGTGTCTCCAGGATTGTGGAACGGGTTACACATAACATCAGTAAACGAGTTGTGCAACTTCCTGAACATCTGAAAATGAAACCAGCGTCCGTTGTGAAGATAAATGTTCCAATTGAGTCCCAAAAAGTTGATTGTGTTCATCTCGACAAGACCTAATCAAGTATTGTGTTCTAGTTGTGTACAGTGCATCCTAAACTTTGAAATGTAAGGTTAATTGTCATCAGGATTCTATTTAATCCAGCTCTGTTTGAAAATGTGTAGATGCTTAGCAAACTCAACTTACACTTCTTATTTCATTATCCCGCAAAGATGTATTTGATGAGTCGACGACAATAACAAATTTCACCTTGGAGTTGGTCACATACCCATATCTATTTTACAAGTCAAGGATACTTGTGTTTTCTTCAGGAATCATCAAGACCAAACATTCCAGCTAAGACAACTTCTGTTTTTGTAGAATGATAAGAGAAGAATCTAGAAGTCTGGTTTATAAGGATTTCAGCATGGATCCACCCATTATTTGCCACATGATCATCTGAAATGGTTTTGGTGGAAAAGTGTTTAAAGAGGATTACAGGAAAGGTTGTCTAAGAGTTCAGGCTCTGATGAATAAACGTGGTCATACAAAATACTGACTTATTAATAGCTTGTTAGGAATGTCCCAAGAAAAAATATAAAGAAATGGGCGTGGCCAAATACTTATGCACACTATTTTGAAGAGTAATGTTTATTTATATTTTATGTAATAAGACAATTGGTCTAAGGTGAGATCATACTCTATCCTTAGTGAAAGAAACGTGATGTAAGTACACGGATAGCTCCCCCCCCAAAAAACAAACAAACAGTACAATTACTTAAAAATAAAGGATACACTTTATAGTCTTCTGTTGGGTAAAGCAGACCCAGGTACAGCTCTCTCTGGTCTCCCAAGGCTTTGCCCACAGCTGAGATCTTTTCCTCCACCACATCCAGAGAGGTGTGTACTGTGTAGTGAAACTTCAGCTCATTTTGAGTGGGAACACTGCGGATATATAGCGGGTAATTCTGCCAAAAACACATACAAATGTAGAGAAGAACAAGAAAAAACCGTTAAAGGCATCGTCTTTGTAGCACTTGCTCGGGAAAGATTCGGAAAACTGTAACAGCAGGTAATCTAGCTAATGCTAGGCGATAGCCATGTTGGTGCATTTAAACTTGCCGACCTTACAGCGTTCAGACAAAGCTAACATGTGCTTAGATACGTCTATCAATATAAGGTTAACCTATGACCACAACACGGAAATAAAACCTGTGATATATAACAACAATCATTACCTCTTTTGCGATCACAGCTATGCACACCGCCATGTTAGTGTTCATCTTGTGAGCTTTCACATGCGGTCACGTGACATGTTGCATTAAGTTACAACCCGTAAAGCAGGTTTAGAACGCAGCCCCCTTTTTTTCTGTATGATGTATATACCGTGTGCTTAAATAGTTGACTTATAATTTTTATATAGTAATATTTTCATTTTAAAGCTAAATTATATTTTATGAGATTCGTTTTTTGGTTATTTATCCGAATATTTTGAAATTTAATTTCGTGACAGTCAGATTTATCAGCAGTCATTGAATGCAGCATACTAAAAAGCAAATTTTTGTTTATTTAATAACACAATATAAAGCTACCGTAGTCATATATAAGAGAAATTAAACTAAAAAAAGATAAAGCGATTTCAGTGAACTGTAAATAAATCTTAGCAAACATCGTAAGAGCTGCTGTTTCCTGTATGCGCAAATATTGCGCTGAAAACTTGCACGAAGACAAACAAAACACTTCCTTGTAGCGGAGGCTCATATGACTTCTGCACAGCCATGGGAAGAATGGTTACTCTAACTCTGATAACTTTTTTTGGAGCAATAATATGTTGTTCCTGGACAAAAAACCTACCAAACGCTCCATCTCCAAACATCATCATCATGCTCATGGATGACGTGAGTATTTCTCTTCTTTCTTCTATTGTTTTGTATGTTTAGTTACAATTTTACCTCAGAGTGCAGTACTGTAAGTGACAGGCTGAGCTGCATATTTCTCGTTAAACCTGTGAGGTTTTATTCGAGGTCGTTCTGTGCTGGCTTGCAAATGTTATTCAAGTAACTTATTCACCTTTACTTCATGTAAACAGCAGGCTGTAAACTCTAATCTAAATGTGACTGCATATGTATGGAGTGAGTAATAAATTTCCCTCTGCTGTTCAGATGGGCTGGGGGGACTTGGGGGTGTTTGGCCAGCCTTCTAAAGAAACCCCCAATCTAGATGCCATGGCAGCTGAAGGGATGCTCCTACCAAACTTCTACACTGCCAACCCACTCTGCTCCCCCTGTAAGTCAGCAGACGATGTAACACTGACATAAACCAGCATTTTTTGTTTTAGTGGATAATATAATTTCTTTCCTTCCAGTCTTCCTCCCTTTAACCCCCAACCAGTCATGCCAGATGGCTGCGCCTCCCTGAGCCTGATTCTGCTGGAGGTTTCTTCCTGTTAGAAGGGAGTTTTTCCTTCCCACTGTCACCAAGTGCTTACAATATAAACCACCTTGAAGTGATTGTGATTTGGGTCGATATAAATACAACTGAACTGAATTGATCAGTTGTGCATTTTTAACATTTTTGAAAGAACAACTGATTTACAGATTGAAAGTATACATTTATCACAGAACATTTATTTTTTAAATATTATAAAATATAAAATATGTTGTGCAAAACAGAGTATACAGAAAATCATAAATGTTACTGCAACATCACCAATTTGGTCATTTTAATGACAATGCGCTTGCATTTCTCAAGAAACGTTTTTTCAAATGTCCACGCACTGAGCACTATTAATATTAACTAAAGCAGGACGTCAGTAGTTGCACAAAACAATTTTGCAATAAGCTGATGTACACATCACGCTGGAGGCACCATTTTATAATGGCAACTGTACTGAGTTTATCCAAAATACTAGCTAGACAGTAAACCATTTATAATCTCAATGTGTGCCATTTCCATTGGAGCACATTTCACTCTATTTGCGTGTCAGAAAAGTAAAATCCATACTCAACTTGTCTAATGACATCATTATTTTTCCACAGCTCGAGCTGCACTTCTCACTGGGAGGCTGCCCATCAGAAATGGTTTCTACACTACTAATGCCCGTGCCAGAAACGGTAATGTCTCTGTACAGGGTTCATAAGCACTGTGCAATATTATGGATTTTCATTTTTAGCAATGTCCAAGTCTGGATAAGTGTGGAAAATAAATGAGCATGAAAACTTGTCTCGATCATGCAAGCAACGTTTTTTTTTTTCTTAACTGTGTTAAACTGTTAAACTGTGTTTTAGAGCAGGAAGCCAACATGTCCAAAATGTTTGCAACTGTGTGGCAGAGGCCATGACAGAGCAAGCTTGATGTGATTAAGCAAGCCATAGATGTGGTAAAAGACTGAATGCACATTGTTACTCGCCAGTACCTCACACAGCGTTAAAAAAGGCTCTGCTGCTAATGCCTTATAACTATTATATATGTTTGCGTCCAGATAAGATGAAAGAAAAAAGCCTCAGTATTGGTATATTTACATAGCATAACAAATAAACTCATAATAGGTTTGTCTGATGTTTAGACTGTAAATAAAACATGGCTATAGTCTCTGAATATTAAAAAACTTTAAACTAGGGCTGCATCTTTTGATAGTTTGAATTGATTATTGACTGTTCCATGGATTCATCAGGTAATAAGATGATAACTAGTTTTGTCTTATTAATGAGAAATAACAAATATTCCAAAAAATTCAGTGTATTTACACACTATATTAAAATAAAATAATTTTTAAAGAAAATTTTCACAACGAAAAATCAGCAGTAAGCCTCCAGAATTTGTATTAAAATATGCAGATGAACTGTTAACTTAGCCTGATACCAGACTGTTTAAATTATACAGCTTCCTGTTGGCTGACAGCAGCCGTCCTATTTTCCATGCAGTGATACCTGCAGCAGACAGGGGTGAGTCTAAAGGGGGGCATCAGGTGACATTTTTCAGATTGATAGTGAAATAATATTAAATATTGTGTTAATTAATATTAATACATTAATATTTAAAATTATACCATCATGCACCATCATAACATTTGTTATGAGAAGCACAAAAAACTAGCCTCCAGCCCCTCCAATTTATTATTGCTCATTAACAAAGCAAAAGTATTTCTTATCCGATTACTCGATTAATCGATACAATAATCAATAGATTACTCGATTACTAAAATAAAAATAATAGCTTCAGTTCTAATCACAAATACACTAATAACAAAAAAGGTAAACACACAACCTCAACTGAAACTTTGGTCTGCCTTCTTGGACAGCTTTCTTACATTAGTAGGAGGTAAAAAGATTTCAGATAGTATTGTATTTTCTGGATGCGATAGATAAGGTGTGTGTTCAAGTGTATGTGTATTTGTGCATGTGTGTGTCTGCATGTTTAAGTGGTGAATGACTGAGCATGTGGTGGTTGCAATGAAGAAAAGCGAACATATCAACATTCTCAGAACTAAGACTTGACCTGCACTTTGATGCAACGTTTCCTGCTGCTGAAAACAGATGTTCCGAAGATGTTAATAATTAATGTTAATAATTAAAGTTAATTATAGCCTAAAGTCCCACTTACATCAGTTACATCACCTGGTTTTTCAGTCAGAGCCACGGAGCCACCCCAATGCCCACTGCATTAGTTTAAATAGCCAATAACTTGGAGGCTTCAAATCAGGAGTCCAAAAATGGACAGATGTCATAGGGGGTAGAGCTATCTTTTAAATACAGTCCGATATGAAAATATTATTAATAATAAAAAAAAGGCTTACTTTTTAGTGAGTTTCTTAGTTACAATATAAAATAGACTAAAAGATATGCGACGGGTGGGGTTGTTAATATAATATTTTAGTTTTTAAGCATAGATTATACAGTAAGACAGCACTTGTACTTCACTTCCTCTTGTTGTTCGTCCTTGTTGCTCACTGGTTTAGTTCTGCAGCTTGGTGTTAAACCCAGACAAGCTCACTGCAGCCACCCTATCTTGAGCTGCAGTCTTTAGATAATTATTTCACAACATAACAGCATGTTTGGACAAAATGTAATAATAATGAGACAAAGAGGAAGAAGAAATAATTTATTCATCCCAAAAGAAAAACAACAGCTCAATAAAATAAATACAAACAAAGTCGAGGGCGAAAAAGTATACAAAAGAAATCGCTTATTTACACAGATATTACAAAAAACCTGAAGCAATTAAATAATAATGAAGTAATAATTATTAACTAACAATAATAATTAAGTCATTATTTCAAAATCTACAATAAAAAGCTTTTATCTAAAATGGACACAGGCATTGTGGGATGAGACTTTCCACATTCATGTGCCAGTGGAGCCCAAATATGCTAAAGAAAGTGCTCTGGGACATTTTTCTAAATGTCTTATTATACCCATGTTGGGACTTGGGTTGTAGAACCATTTAGTTACATATATTGAAAGGTAGTTTTGTTTTTGTCTGAAAAGTCTCCCTAGAAGTCTGGAAAGTGGAATAGTGAGTGCATTTGCACTGTGCAAATAATTTCTTGCTGATTTCTCACTGCATTATCTATACTGTGCAGTTTACAGTATAGTTGCAGCAAAGGAAAGTTCAGTACCTTAAATTTGGATCTATTTTTTGCAGCATACACACCACAGGACATAGTAGGAGGTATATCCAAGGATGAGATTTTGTTACCCCAGCTGCTGAAGACAAAGGGCTATGTCAGCAAGATAGTTGGGAAGTGGTGAGCTCTTTATCTTTTCTCAGGTTTTAAAGTCTCTGAAGGTTTAGAGAGCAGCGATCAGTTGTGGAAGGAGTGCTGGTGGAAGTATATGGTGCAGTATATTTGCAAATGTACAAAAAAAGAGTGTTTATTTTCTTATTTCTTCTTCTTTTCTTTAAGTAAGATTACATAGACTTTCTGTGCAGCTAAGATGAGAACAAAGTCTTCCTGATGCCACCATCATATTTTGTTAGTCAGTAAAGCAGATGCACAGTGTCAAGTTTTAAGCCTCTAAAATTTGAAAGTTTTTCTACATAGTATACTGTGAAGAACTGTAACTGATTTGCATCCAAACAGAAAAAAAACTGCATTCAACCTTTAGAAAAAAAAATATCAGGGCAAGAATATCTGACGTTATAGCTAGGGCCTAAGAGTAAATATACAAAAACATATGGGTTGATCTTCAGCTACACTGATCTTAGTGTGTGAATGCACTTTATTTGTCGCTATAGGCACCTGGGCCACAGACCAAAGTATCTTCCTCTGAAGAACGGTTTTGATGAATGGTTTGGTTCACCAAACTGCCACTTTGGCCCTTATAACGACCAGTCGATACCAAACATCCCCGTCTACAACAACTCTGAGATGCTCGGCAGGTAATATCACACACAAACACACAGCAAGGCTGAAAATCTATATACAAATCTCCTTCCCCATGACTCAGTGGAATAGTTTGGCTGTCTGCTCCTCAGGATGAGTTGAGTGTCTCTTCCCCCCCGCCCTTCTTCCTTCTTTGTACCAGCTGTGCTTGTGTATTCCATTTTCCGCCCATTTGTTTTCCCCAAAACAGCCATATGTGTATTCAGGGTCATTGGAACTGGCAGCCGGGCGTGTTTTTCGCTTAGCCGTGGGTTTAATCAGCACCGCATACCTGGGCCCTGGACAGAAGCACACACACACATAGGCACATATACAGGGAGACACACACATGCCCTCAAGAGACGGCAGGTTGCGTTGGCTGTGTGCGAGGACACCTGGAGGAAGTGAAGCATAAGAAAGAGATGCCTGTCACTGCTTCTCTGTTTGCCGCGCCACGCTTCAGCAGCGCCTCATAACAGTTCCCTCTGCTCAGCTTCGCTGACACTTCCCAAATATGGCTTTCACCAAAATTTCCAGCAAACACCCTCAACAGGAGGGAAATTTACTTCCTTTCTCCTAATCACATAGTCCACAGTAGTTTCAGTCAGTTTGGAGGCAGACTGATGACACAATCAGGTTACTGCTAAAACTTTTTTTTAACACAGACGATAAATAGGCCAGCTTGACCTTAGCTATTATTCAGATGGGACGAAGGTGTTGTTAATGAAATGTATACATTTGTTATTTTTTTCAGATTCTATGAGGACTTTAAGATTGACAGAAAGACTGGAGAGTCAAACCTCACACAGATCTACCTGATGGTAAGCGAAGGATCACCTGTTGTTGCTGTCTCAGTGTGACATACTCATACCAGGTACATCACATTTTGATGCAATGTTTTTTTTTCTAAAGCAGTTGACAGAACGGTCCTGCCTGTGTTAAACTAGCAACTTGTTAACCCACCTTTTGCCTTCTGGGAGCCTGTCCCAGCTCTCATAAGGCGGGGACAAAATGTTACTGCCTGCCAGAATACAGAATTTTACCTTGGCTCACCCAAATATGAAAAAATTAAAAACATAATTGAAAATAAATAATGAATGCAGGTAAAGCCTAATTCTGGCCTTTAATAATTACTGTAATTTAACCAGAGGAAGTGCACTGATTATCTCTGCTGCGGCGGTCCTTCCCATTCAGTTTGGAACATGATCAAAACCAGCATGCAGAAACACACTGCATGCTGGAATGGTGTGTCATCACTGAAAGAGGGCGGTCCTGTGAAAGGCAGCATGTCTTAAAACTTGGTGAACATTAAGCAAAAATCAGATTTCTTTTTGTAACTGTTAAGTTTTGTTTGGATAACTGACAAATTTGCAGTCATCTACTGTAAAATATTTATCTGTGTGCAAAATGATTATCTCTTTTTGTAATAAAGAACAAATGGTGCAAATGTAAGTGTCTGAAATGTAGTTAGCAAAGCGTTTTAGATTAATTATAACCATCCTTTTCCTGGGTTGCAAGCTCAGTTTTCAGTGTTTCAGTGTTAATAAACTGCTAAAACTATAATACAGTATTCTGCCTACATGACAGTTAGAATGTGTGTTTTTGTGGAAACTGTTTTGCATTGTATCGAGAGATGTTCCTCAGTTTGCTTTCATTGATTTCAACAGGCTAGACAACACGTTGGAGACTCCTTAGTACAACAATACCTAAGAAGGCTGATGAGTCTCTCTCTAAAACAGTTTAAACAAAAACTGAACTCCGTGCTCTCTTCTTGGAGGTGGTTTTATTGAAGGCTTGTCTGACTCACTGCTTTACTTGAAAACACTATTTGAGTGTCTAGTGAGTGAGAAAGAGAATTCTTGTTACCTTAACTGCAATGCTGTGAAAGAAGCTGCAGAAAGTCTCCTGGCTTTTGTATTCCCAGTGTAATGACGTTTTCTTCCACCTCTGCAGGAAGGTCTTGACTTCATACTTCGTCAAACTAAAGCTCAGCAGCCCTTCTTCCTCTACTGGGCAGTCGACGCCACTCACGCCCCCGTCTATGCCTCCAAACGCTTCTTAGGGAAGAGCCAGCGAGGCCGGTACATTTTATCCTGCTGACTCTCCTATTGACGCAAAGACAATGTCATGCAAGTGGTTATAAATGATTGTATCGAGGTGAAAAATGTGATCTGCCTTTGTGCTGTAGCTATGGCGATGCGGTGATGGAGCTGGACTACAGCATCGGTCAGATTTTGAAGTGGCTGCGAACTTTTGGTATTGACAATAATACCTTTGTGTTCTTCACCTCAGACAACGGTGCAGCTGTTATGTCTGGCCCCAATGAAAGTAGGCAATTATTTCATAAACAAAGTGCTTTTTTAAAATCTAATTCTGACTCGCTTTTGTGTCCCGTGTGATTGATGCAGGTGTTTTTGTGGTTTTTGACTCCTCAGGTGGCAGCAACGGACCCTTCCTCTGTGGGAAGGAGACCACCTTTGAGGGAGGCATGAGAGAGCCTGCCATTGCTTGGTGGCCTGGGCACATCAAAGAAGGCTCAGTAAGAATGCCCCAGTCATTAGAGCTTTTACCAAATAAAGCATGAAAAAAACCCACAATAAAATACAACACGTGCTCTCGAGAGGCTAGTCTAATCTTAGTCCAGGCACCCAGAGGACAGCTTATTATTCTATGCTTTGTTGTTCCCTGACTTTCTGCCAATCAGATTGTACCAGGAGCTGAAAATCTGAAGCAAGTTATGTATAAAGGAAAAATTATTTTACTCGTTCTCTCTTTCAAACAATCATTGCTTTTTTTGTTTATGTATCAATTAGCTATTTACACATACACAATTTGATCCACTGGCGTCAATTAATCCCGACTGTGTCCAGCTTCTGTCAAACAGAGCCGAACTCCAGAAAGCCAGACTGTGATTTTGGCCACAAAGCAAGTGGGAGCCTTTTTCTACTGTTTCCTAAAATATTTCTG